TTGGATCAAATTTTATGATGCAATCGATCATTGTTTTAAGCCACATTGACTAGAAATAAAGTCTTTATCCCTTTATCCAAGTGTGCAAAGAAAATGTATGGAAAATGTATGGAAAATGTATGGAAAATGTATTGAATCAGCCACGCCTTGGCCTTCACTTCCAGGGAGCCATGCGGCCACCAGGGCGTCCTTTGTTGCAAGATATGGCTCAATTACAATGGGACGCCCTGAAATGAGGACAACAACGCATTTGATAGCCTTACAAGCGTTCAGGATTATTTTTGGACCTGGATCTGGGATAGTCAAGTTTTGGCTGTCACCCCTTGTCTCTGCATAAGGAACATCGCCAACCACCACGATGGCGTAGTCGGAGTTGTACTTGTTAAACCCAGGATTCTTCCTGCAGGTCACTTTGGTGATTTTATCGACAGTGGCTTTGATGGCGTTGAGGATGGTGGTGCCTAATCAAACAATTGATAAATTTTGTTCAAATGAAAATGTCAAGATCTCCATGATACAATTGAAATGTAGAATTTGGTTAATAATTACCTGCAGTCCAGTTGTTCCCACTGACTCTTTGCCATTCAATAGTCCAGCCACCACACCGATAGCCCAAAGTATGAGCATGGGTTCCTGCAACAAGAATCTTGTTGGCATTCTTTGGGAGAGGCAAAACAGGTGGCATTCCAGTCTTGCCATTCGTCAATAATACAAGTGTTTTCCTTACAGCTTCCATTGCCAATTCTCTATGCTTCTGTTGTCAGAAGAATCCAACTTTAGTAGTCAAAAGAGTTCGTTTTACTTCTTGGGTCATTTTGAGGCGGGGTTTAAAACAGCAAGAGAAAATTAAACCAATTTTAGTTTTTGCAAGAACTCACCTTGGACCCAACCTCGTCATTTGGACTGTAATCGCCTAGGGGATTTTCAAAGAGGCCCATGGCAAACTTGACACGCAGGCTTGTCACGGCATCATCAATTCAGCTCATTGGAATGACATTTTTCTTAACCAAATCAATCGAGCCATTGATGAATTCATTGTAGTTGTAAGGAACCATCACCTGGAAAATCAGCAAGCCTGCATTATTTCATCTGTCAACTTAAACAATAATTCTAACTATATTTCTAATTTGCGTAGGATGAGAAAAGGAAGAAGAGAGTCAAGTGGTTGCTGAGTTAATACTTCAGGTTTAAGGGTCACATCTTAAAGAAATCTTTGAGTAAGAACAAGTAATAAGAAGCAACGCCTCGAACTGACCATGTCATCAGCAGCCATTATTGAAGCTTGAATTGAATAAATGTAGCTTGAATGAGAAGGATAGGGATCCTGTCGATTCCTTAATTCCCAATCAGATATGATGAAACCCTGTAAAATAAAATCTTTACTTAGTAAATATGCTACCAATTTTTCTTTTTCTGAAAAGCAATTTGCTAACAAATTTCTAGGCAATCTGCAAATTAAAATTTACCTTGAAACCAAGTTTGTCCTTAAGGAAGCCGGTAAGCAAGTCGTGATTAGCATGCATCTTAACTCCATTAATACTTGAATAAGAAGCCATGACGGTGGCAACACCCTTCGCCTGCGAATTAAGGTAAGCAGGCATGTGGATGCCAAACAAGCCCGCCTGGTCGACAATGTTGTTGTTTACATTAATGCCCTTGAGCGTGCCGTCATCACCAACGTAGTGTTTGGCACAACCTGCCACCTTTGTTCTACATCAAACACAAGGGATAATCAAATTATTGATATCAAGGGACAATATATATATATATATATATAATTAAAATGTAATTCGATTCAATTCTTACTTTCCATTAACATATGGCATGCCCTCCATGTCGGCTTTAACTTCTCCTTGTAGCCCTTCGATGGTTAGAGTCATCTCTTGTACAATGACGTGGTCCTCACTAAAGCTCTCGTGACATCGCCCCCATCTAGCATCTCTGCAAACCTACATTTATATATAAATATATATATATAAACATGTAAAGAGGAATGACGAGAAATTTATAACAGCATGAAATGTCAATTAATTAACCATGCGCATTTTGCAAGAACACATACTACAATGCATGGTGCAAAAGCGTAAGGAATGCCGGTTGCTCGAACTTTGAGTACAGTTGCAGCTCCAATCTTTTTAACAAGAGGGACCCTGGTAGATCAATGAAGAAAATAAGGTACATAGCGATCACGAAATCGAAGTATCAGGTTAATTATAAGATTAGATAAGTTGGCACTTAGCCAATTAGGAGCCTTACCTAGTTACTCCAAGGCCAACATTATGTGGGACAAGGGTGGCATTGACAACATTGTTATGGCCATGAACAGCATCAATTCCATAGATCATTGGAATCCCAAGACGAGTGGCAAGAGCACGCTGTTGAAAATTATTCACCATATTCAACCATTCTTTTACGCTAGCATTCTTCCCGGGTGTACTACCTCCACCACTTAAAACACTGCCAATAAAGTAATTCTTTATGATATCTGAAGTCAGGTTTTGACGTTCAAGCTGCGCCATCTGTCCAACCCTTTTTTCCAGGGTCATTTTACCCAAGAAGTCCTGAATCCTGACCTTAGTCGGCTGTTTTGGATCTCTATATTTGGCGTGGTGCTTACCTCCTTTCACTCCCACCGTTGCTGTTTTCTTTGCTTCTGTGATTGATGCATGGCAGCAGAGAAGCACAAATCCCACTGAGGAAACCAATGTTCTACCCATCGTTGTATTATTATATTGCAAACACCAGAATTAATTCTGTAAAAATAAAAACAAAAAAAAAAGTTTAGAAAAGTGGGAACTTGGACAATTTTATTTAATTAGTGTGATACAATATTATAGAAACAAAATTTTATCCACACTTTCAAGAGAGTCATTAAATAGATTATGAAACAATATGGTTTTGGAAATGAAGCAAGAACCCAGGAATCAAACTCATCAGAATATTATCAACATGAACTCGTTTCTTTCTTAAAAAAAAATAAAAATTAGCAAGTTGGTGAACTAAGGAAATTGTATAAAAAATAAAATGACAGCAAGACTTTTGAAGTGCAAATAAACAAAATTTTGTGCTTTACTTGAGCTACTTCACAAAGAACTATTTTCCAATACAGAACTTGCCAAAAATATTGGATAAAATCTCCTCCAAGGTCTGGCCAAGGGCCAATGTAGCATCCTTTAAATCAATTGCCCAAGTATCAAGAGGGAGTTCCTTTTTTATTGATGATTTCAACTAATAAGAGCCCCCTGAGACACATGAGATGTTCACACTGTCTCTGAGAAATCACAAGAAAATATTCCACAAGGAGCAGCTATAAATCCCTCAAATCCGGGAAGAGAAAATGGAACTATGGTCGCTATAAAAGCAAAAAAAAGCTGAACAGGCAGTTTTAAAATGCTAACCTGGTTCAAGTCCATCTACATCCTCCTCTAGGAATCTCGGTTAGGCCAACTATCTCTTAAGATTGATTTCTCCAAATCTTGTATCCCTTGTCCAGTGATGGCACATGTAAAGACATGCTTACTGAAAGACTTGGCTTCTCTATCCACCCAATCAGAGCAAGCAGATGAAGCACAGTCTATTTTATTGATCACTAGACACATTGGGATGGGTGTTGATCTCTTAAACCACAAAATCACAACCAATTACAATATATACCCCAAGAAGCTTAGGATGCGTTTAGTGTACAAGATTATGATAGGATAGGATAGGATAAGATGATATTATAAATAAAATTAAATTAAATAATGTCATCCTATATTGTGTTTGATGTGCGCAATGATTGTGATAGAAAATTTTATTTATTGGTCAAAATTATCCATTTCAAAGTTTAGATGATTTAAATTATTGATGTAATTTTTAAAAATATAATAAAACATATAAGTTCAATCTTATGGATTAAAAGTAATCCTCTCTACATTGGAAATTGGGAGGATTGAATCATCCTATGCCAAAAGGATGATTAATCCTTCTAACAATTCTATCCCTCTCTTTAGATACAAACTAAACATGGAATAGAATGAATCATCCTATTCTATCCATTATCCTATGCATCAAACATGGCCTTAATTCATTGGATAAAGTACTTATAAAATGGAAAAGCCAGCAAGATTGGTAGATATTAACCACAATGCCAATGGCTTACCATGATGGATTGAATCCTCTCAAGAAGTTTGGTATCTGCCATAGTCCATTCATCAAGTGCACTCACTGTCATGACAATGACATTAGCATCCATAGCAACTGCTTCAGATCGCTCCAAACCTAGAACAAAACAGTCATACAAATCTAAATAATTATTGACATATAAACAAGAAACATAAAGAATAAAATTAACTTCCAATTGTAAATAAAACTATTCAAATAACACTTAATCAACTGCTTTGAAGAGGCGATGACTGTATCTTCAAACACTTCCTACGTGCTATACAGAGTGTAAAACTAAATACACCAAATTTCTTCACTCAATGAAAGGAAAATGATTGAGCATCTATACATTTCATAGAAATCAAGCTAAATTGTATCTTGCATGGCATTACCAGCAACGTGGTAACATCGAGCTTCATAATCCCCCAAGAATAACGGATAAGACAAAAGGTGCCCCCAAGTTTAGATGATATCTCTATGCAGCACAAAGAAGAGATATAAGAATCAATTCACATCTTTGCTAGTTATTTGGAGGTTTCATGATAGGAAATGACAAACTACAAAGTATAACCTAGTCTTCTGAACACCAAAGGAGAGGCTTATTCATTGAATTTCCAATGGGAAGCAGAGTAAAAATTTCATTATCTATGTGTTTTACAGACTGACAATTGAATCAAAGATATATTTAGAGGAACCAACTTTCTTATTCAAAAAGCATAATCTAGTATAATTATCAACTTGGCATCCTCCTACTAGATGCTTGTAAATTAACATGAGCCATTTTTGGAATTAGAGTCAGGCAAGGAGAAAAATCTTACCAATCTTCTCCACAACAGCATTAGTTTCCCTGATGCCTGCAGTATCAAGAAGCATTACAGGGACACCTGAAACAGTAACACTGGCTTCCACCGCATCCCTAATGATTCCTGCAATCTCTTTAACTATTGCCCTCTCACTCTGCACGCTAAAAGTAAGACATGGCGTTGAAATAGATGCCATGCCATGTCCATGTGAAAGTACCAGTAAGCAGGTAAAAGGACTAAGAGTTCATATGTCATACAAATTGTTTAGATGATGTGACACAGACATGAACCAGATCAAAACTGAGTAATGGCCATATAAATAAATTATGCAATATGAAGAAAGGGGAGATAACAACGTACTTTGCTCCATGCATTAAAGAGGCTTGACTTTCCAACATTTGGACAGCCAACAATTTCCATATGCAAGATTTTGAAAATAGAGGCGACTGCATCATTAATAATTAACCTTAAAGTTACAATGCATATACTATCTCCAAACATGTAAAGACCAACAGCTCCATGTATCTTACTATCAAAGAACAATGAATGACTGGTACATATGGTAAGATCCAACTGAATGATCAAAAGTTGGAAACTGCTCTGTTGCTTTTCTGATATCTTTGGGGTATAAAATATGAATTACACAAGAAATCAGCTTTCTGCAATTGAACTCACTAAAATAAATTTTCCACTCCATACACATTCGAAGATCTCTGATTCATTGGAGGTTGTACCTGCAATCCTGATTGGAGAAGCTTGTCATAATTGGCAGTCTCCAGCGCATGCTCTACATCTTGTGACATGGCATGTATTCTATCAATAATTAGGATGAAATCTAGTGATGACATGGCATGTATTCTATCAATAATTAGGTTGAAATCTAGTGATGGCATCTCATCCTTAAAATCTAAACGAGCCTCTATCTCAGTAAGCAACTCATGCACTATCATCTCAATGATCTGACTAAAGAAGAGAAGCCCCCCTGTCAAACAGCTAAGTTCATGAGTGTTGTTAATCACACAGAAAACCAAATTTCAAATAAAAGCACTATGGAAAATTCCAAGGTAAAAAAAGGCAGAATTCTAAAGGTGAAACACGCCTGAATTCCTGCCATAGCTGCATCATCGGCAGCAACAGACTTAGCTGAAATTAGTTTTCCAACATTTTAAGTTTGGGAAAGAACTAAACGACCATTTAGCACGGAGGGTAAACTCGCCTAAAAACAGGGCGAGAAAACACAAGATGAGGAAACGTTTTGACAAAAGATGCAATAACCACAGAAAATTTTTATCTAAGAGTCAAAAAGTCGCAGAAAATTTTACATAACAAGCCAAATCCAACCTGGTTCAGCAACCCTGGCTCCAGCTCCTAAACAAGCCTTCAACACACGACGCATACACACATCATTCCGATGGCGCTGGTTCTCGACCACATCTTCACGAGTATATGATTTAGGAGCCAGCATTGGCACAGCCAAGGATTTAAATAACGGTGGTGATCATATTTTTGAATATAATAGATATCACTGTCATCATTGTGATTATCGGTCGTAAATTTTTTTTATTTTTACATAATTTATTATAAAATATAATACTTATAATTATAAAAATACTTATTTAATAATTTTAAAAATAATTTATAATAATTTATTTTTTTATTTTTTTAAAAAATTATTCATAATTTTATTTAAATTATAATAAAATATTCATATTTGGTTTATCTATCAATTTTTTTAAGCCAAGTTTATATTCAATATTAATTTTAGACAAATCAAATATTAACAAAATATAATATATTAAATACCAAGCATTTATATTTAATAAAATTACAAACTTAAAAATATAATAATTTCAAATTCTATTAACTACAATTATTGATATATATTTCAAATTTTACCACATGGTAAAAGGACGAAAAGAATCAAATTCTTTATCTTCACTTTGAGATCCAAGTTGACTCCATCCTCATCCCTGTGACATTTGTTCTTGATACATTTGAGGTGAAAGATATATTTGAGGATAATATATTTGTGGTGGGGGATACGTTTGTGTGAAAGATACATTTAAGGTGGAGGATATATTTGTGGTGGATAATAATCATACAGAGGTGGATAACCATGAAGATGTTAAAAATTAGGTTGTTTAGATGGATAGTAATGACCTTGAGTACTAGCAAATTATTCACTATACTCAAAATTATTAGAATTTGATCTCTTACATGAAGATGAAGAACCTCTAGAAATATGATAGTGGTGCTTTTTGGCTTTTCCTTTTGACCAAGTTATACGTGCACTTTGACCCTTACTAGATTTAGTAGATAGATTTACACCATATTTACCATGTTAATGCATAGTTCACCAGTAGCAGCAAGCCCAAATTCTCTTTCAAATGGGCTGTAAGGTCGATTTGCATCCATATATCACCAAAATTTGCACCATCACCATCATCATCATCATCATCTAGATTTAAACCCTCACCATCATTACTCCGACTTGGTGTTGGACTTGAACTTAAATGAGACACATTCTTTTCTTGAGATTAGCGTGATTGTTCAACATTCATTTCATTATCAGAATTATTTGCAGACAATCAATTATAGTTTTGCCATCTAACAAAAGATTTTTTTTTCTTATAGTCATTCTATTAGTGGATCATCATCTTCAAAAATATGATCAAGGCTTATAAGATTAAAACTATTATATATCTCGCCAATGCTCTTTTTTTTTTTTATGTCTCATTCTTAACCTTATGTTATAATAGGTATATACAAGTTTTTGAAGTCTTTCAAACTTCAATCTATTTCTTGCTTTGGTGTTAATATAGTTAAATGTGCTCCAATTACATTCACAATTTGATGCAGATGTTGTTTGATTAAGCATTTTGATTGTTAGTTTTTGTAATTTAGGAACAGAAGTACCATATATCATTCACCACTCAACTATATAAAATTATTTAAATTAAATTTAAATATGCTATACAATTAAATAATATAAATAAATTATAATTATTTAATTTACTATTTACTTGAATTCATTTGCTTTCAAGCTCTTTATGCTTGTAAAGTACTGTATGTTTTATGCTTGTTTCAAAATAATAATAATTACATCAATTGAAAATATAATTATAAATGAATAAATAAAAAATAATTCTATTTTTAATACATAAAATAAATATCAAAGTCATAAAATAGTAATAAATACTAATTTGATTAATCATTCTGATTTGAGTGTCGATAAAAGATTTTAATATTTTAATAATTACTTTTGTACCTTCTAATATTTCTTTAAATACATTTGCAGAATATTCCACTCAAAATTGAAATTGTGGATTTAGATAGTAACCTAAATATAATTTATAACAATATTATATTAAAGTAATAAAAAATAAGTATATAAGTAATTTAAGTATAAAAAATAAATATATTTTTTAAATATCATCTATATTCTTGGTTTACTTACCAGCTGAATGCAAGTCAGAGTGCATGAAACTCCATCTATTATCAATAATCTTTTCATATTTAGTAGAATAACGATAATTTTACTAAATTGCTTGTTTAGCTCTATCTGCAACCTCGTAAATAAAGCTCATTGTTGGTTTTTCACCATCATCCATAAGATGTAACACTTTTGTCAAAGATTCATAAACTTTTATTATATTGCTTATTTTTTTCCAAAATTTTTTTTTCAAAATGATTTTTCTGGCTTCATAAACAGGCCCTAATTTTTGTTATCCCTATTTTGATTCTTTAAATTTCTATATATTCATTAATAAAATTTTAAAGTAATATATTTTAAATTAATATTTTAAACAATAATATCATAAAAAGATACTAGATTTAAACAATTATACTAATTACTAAGTACTAACCTTTGAATTAAACATCTCTCTCAAATCTTATTTTTACCTTGTTATTTTTTCTAACTGTATGAAATGAATGGCAAATCGGGTAAGAGCAAGATAAAGTATTTGCTTTTTTTGTGTATATTTCTTCATTAAATTAATAGTCTAAATGTGATTGTCTATAAACAAGTCACTCTTTTTGCATCATCCAAAACCTTTGCCACATTTTTTTCTTGCCAATATCTTCAAGGCACAAGTCCAAACAATGAGCTAAACATGTTGTCCAATATAAATATTTTTTCTTTTCCATTAGCCTTTTTCCTACGGCCTTAAGTGCTGCCTCATTATCAGTGACTATTTGAACAATGTATTTTTTCCTAAATTTTTCACAACTTCATCTAATAATCTATAGTAAAAGTTTGAATCTCTACTATGAATATTTAAGACTTCTATAGATTTTCAAAAAATGATCCTTTTACTATAGTAAACTAGGAAATTAATTATACACATTTGATTCAAACTGTTAGTCGAACCATCACACATCAAACTGACACCCAATTCATTGTAATGAGCTTTTAATTCATTAGCTTATTCATGAATTTATTGATACTCAGACTCTAAATACACATTTGACATCTCATAAGGTGTTAAAAGGTTTACCTGTTAGCCAACTTTTGCTACCACATAAATCAAATTATGCAACCATGAAGAGTTTGCTAACTGAAAAATAAGTCAATCATATATAAAAAATTTTGATATTGATTCACCCATCTTCTTTTTTAATATCTTTAAAAATGAATTACTTATTTTTTGTTGCTTTGAACTTTTATTTCTAACCAATTTAAGTATAGCTCTTTATAATGAAAATTTAAACTCATTTTGGAGTTGATTTCTTTATTCTTTCTTTAAAATATTCAATAACTGAGCCATGAGAGCTTCGTCCCTCTTCATATATATAACTCTAACCACTAATTCTTTATCTGAATTCTTATTTTCTGTGCTATTCATGTTGTGATTGGATACTATCTCACATGGCTTGTCTAGTAGCGGTGTTTTCATCAATAAATCTTTTATAATCATCTTCCTCTCTTAACTGTGATAAACATTTATTTTTTCTCTTTTTGTTGTCAGTTTTTTTTATTTCTTTTTTTGAAAGAGTTTTATCATACTTTCTCTTATTATACCTATTAATAATATAGTTAAGAAAAATGGAGAAAATTAGTTGTACATGCTTATGTAATGTTATAATTTTTATTGAAAAATTAACAATAATATTTTCAAAGGAATTATAAAAACATAACATATTAGTAACATTGGAGCATGGTGCAACATTTTCAATTTTATAAGTAATGTATTCCTTGAAACGTCTTATTTTTCTTTTTATAACTTTACCACAAAGTTTGCATAAAATATTTTTTTTTGTATTTGACACAGGTGTTCCAAAATGCCAACCTATATCATCACATGGTGCATCCTCTACTCCTTTACTTGGGAATTCTTCACGTGGTAACATGCTTACGATTTTGTATAAAAATAAAATAAACTTATATTTAGAAATATTAATGTTACTTATTCCATCATTAAAAATTAAATTTGCATTAAATTTTTTTAATTTTTAGTTTTTAATCTTAAGAATAATAAATCATAAACTACTAAATTTATTAAGTAACATAATCTTTTTGATATATTAATTGATATAAATTTTTTTATCACAAATTACTTTCAATAATTATATAATAAATAGATATTTAATAATTACACAAAAATAATAAGAATTAATCTAATATCAAAATAATTGACAACAATATAAATACCAAAACAACAAAAAAATTATTAAATTTCAAATACAAAATCATAAATTAATATATAAAAAATTAAAATATAATATTTAATTTTAATTATTTTTTATCTAACTTATACAAAAAAAAATTATCAAAGTTTTTCATTTAAAATCTCTATATATATAATATTAAATTATTAATCCTTTAATTTTTTCAACTATAAATCCTCAATTCCTCTAATTAGATTTTATCTATAAAAATTTCAAAAATTAAAAATTTTGAAACTTATATTTTAATAAAATTTTCAAACTTATATTTTTTAATTTTAAGAGTAATAGATCATAAAATGCTAAATTTATTAAGTAATTTAATCTTTTTAATACACTAATTGATATAAATTTTTTTATCGTAAATTACTTTCAATAGTTATATAATAAATAGAATTTTCAATAATTATACAAAAATAATAAGAATTAATCTAATATCAAAATAATTGACAACAATATAAATACCAAAACAACAAAAAAATTTATTAAATTTTAAATACAAAATCATAAATTAATATAGAACAAAATCAAAGAATAATATTTAATTTTAATTACTTTTCATCTAACTTATACAAAAAAAAAAACTAATCAAAATTTTTCATTTAAAATCTCTATATATATCATATTAAATTATTAATCTTCAATCGCTGTAATTAGATTTTATCTAAAAAAATTTCAAAAAGTAAAAAATTTCAAACTTATATTTTAATAATATATATTTTTTAATTTTTAGTTTTTAATCTTAAGAGTAATAAATTATAAAACGCTAAATTTATTAAGTAACTTAATTTTTTTGATACACTAATTGATATAAATTTTTTTAATCACAAATTACTTTCAATAATTATATAATAAATAGAATCTTCAATAATTATACAAAAATAATAAGAATTAATCTAATATCAAAAGAATTGACAATAATATAAATACCAAAATAACAAAAAAATTATTAAATTTTAAATGTAAAATCATAAATTAACATATAACAAAATCAAAGTATAATATTTAATTTTAATTACTTTTCATCTAACTTATACAAAAAAACTTATCAAAATTTTTCGTCTAAAATCTCTATATATATCATATTAAATTATTAATTTCTTAATTTTTTTTTTTAAATTATAAATCTTCAATCCCTCTAATTATATTTTATCTAAAAATTTTTAAAAATTAAAAATTTTTAAATTTATATTTTAATAAAATTAATTACAAAATTAAATAAAAAACCTACCCACCCCACCCTACATTCCTTTCTTACTCCACCCACATATCCCCAAATATTCCCAAAATTTGGCTACCTAATTCCCAGTTCCCACCTCACATTTTCTTCTATTCTTCTTTTTCATGCCTTGGCTCAGGCATTTTCTTCTTTTTCCATTCATCTCTCACTTTTTCTCTCATCTCCTCATCACTGTCACCTGCCTAGTGCCTACAGAGTACCTCGCTCGTCTCTCTCAAATTCTCACAAAGATAGACCTTGTTTTACAAAAATTTTGCATAAAAAAATGTAATTTAACTTTTTTTTCTTACCTTATTTGATCTTGATTGTTGATTGAAAATTTGAGGCTGATTTGAATTTAGGTAATTCGTGGATTACGCTAGGGTTGCTGCTGTCGATTAAATGGTTGAAAAATGATTTGATATTATTTTCTAACTTTTTTTAGATTGATTTTGAAACTAAGGTTCTGAGTTATTTTTTTGCTTTTGCTTTTGCTTTTACTTTTGCAGTTTTGTTACTTTATTATGATTCTTGGTAGTGTTGAAAGTTTTTATTTTTTTATAACTTGAATTGGTGATTTGTGAGGAGGAAAATAGGGATAATGGCAATAACAAACCATTATTGCCATTATTCCTTGTTACGTTATTTTCTTGCGGCTGTTACACACTATTTCGAGTATGAATGAATTTTTCAACCATATTTTCTCTAATAACAGTGGCAGATGATGGCGTTATCGTAATTTTATGGCCGTTATTCCACTGTAAAACTATTATTTGATTCTTAAGGCACAACTAAAAATTTAAAACATAAAACAAATAAAATAAAAATGAGAACTTTCCTATCCATATCCCAAGTCCCAACTCCAATAACAAAAACACGACACTAGCTAACAAAGATTTTTCTTTTTTAAGTCTTTTTTTTTTTTAACAAAACTACACTTCAATAAATTCCTTTGAAAATTTAAAATGATGCCATACTCATCAACATGACTGGTAGGCTAAATGCTATCTACCTTTTATGTGATTTTCAATTAAAGATTTCAATTTTAATTTAGTTCAATATAAAATATAACATTTTTAAATTTGTATAAATAAAGACTTGTTGTTATGATTGTAACTTATACATGCAAAAAATAATGTGAATCACTGTTCTGCAACATAATAAATAGTAAAAATAGCCAAAAACTCTCCATTTTCTAACTTTTCTTCTTAAATAAACTCTACATTATCAAAAATCAACCTCTTTTTCATCAATCTTGTCGCCAATATTGATTTTTATTATTCACCAACAACATAGCTTTTCATGATTGAAACCAAAATCTTAGGTTTAACCCATCTTCTGGTTTTTCTCTCTCTAAATCCTTAAATTAGAATCCAACGACAATTTAAAAAATAAAGAGCTCAAAAATCATAAAATCTTATAGTTAAAATTCGATGGCATTCATCATTTATTGTGCTACCATCGATCAACACCTTTTCTTTCTTTTTTTAACATTGTCTTAAAATCCAAAAATTTTAAAAAAGAATCAAACCCAGGAAAAGTCCTTAATGAAGAATTTTTAAATCTTGCTACTATGGCTGCTTCCGTGTATTGAAACCCTTTTGTTCGATAAATTGATTAATCGAGGCTAATTGTTGATTAATGATCTTATTGATGAATTTGCTTTGTTGATTGGCTAACAAAAAAATTTTCCTTAACTCAAAAAGCTTTTTAAAACAATTGTTTTACTGTGCATTTTTTGCCCCTTCGAAGACTAAAAAATTTTATCCAAATTTCTTGTTTTTCAATGACTTATAAATGTGAATTACTACTATTTGACCTTCGTTGCTTGATTGTTTGAGGCTAATTATTGTGCTTAATTTTGCTTATTGTCTTTGTCTTGATTATCAATTTCTATTATACCTAATTTGTGTGTTTTTTTTTTTTTAATTTGGAGTTAATGGTTTTAATGAAAAATGTTAACAAAAAGTGGACTTAATGGTGCGTATAAGCTGTAATTGTAATTTAGTTTTTATTTGAACAAATTCAAAAATATTATATTCTAAATTAAACCAAATTAAAATTGAGATTTTTAATTGAGTAACTATCCAAACATATAATCTTAAACTGAAGATTTAGGAAGAAGGGGATGATCTCACAAATGGCAGATATGTAATTTTTCACTTCTTTTTCTTCTACTCTAAAAGTGTTTATGGGTCAAACTTTGATGGTTAAATTTGGGTATTACTCATGTCCTTATCTTTGACAACTTCATAACTCATAGAATTATAAATAGACCAACCTTTTTTATTAAAACTATAGTTTTTTTTTTCACACTAATATTTTTTAATATTTGATGCTATTAGAAATTAAATATTTACTTATAAATTACACAGTTGTTGCTTATATTAAAAAAAATATTTATATGTATTTCAACCCTAAAAAGATTATTATTTATTATAATAATTAAAGAATTAATATTTGATATATTTTAATATAAAATTTTAATTATTAAAGTGAGATTAAAAAAGTAACATAGATTTTATTTTTTTGATTAGATTTTTTATTTTTTTAAAATATATCTATCATTTTTTTAATTATGCTTATGTTATTAAAATTTTATACTAACAATATATCAATTATTAACACATAATTAACACGTGCTAATGCCAAAAATCTTCTCAAACAATAGTCAATTACTTCATTTGTATCAACAAGTGATTGATTGTATCGGTTAAGACTCGTTCGAATTTTGTCGATAATTATTTGTTAAAATCATTTCAAATGTACTACCTGCAATCATCTATTTTAAATTATCAAGTATAACATATCTTGTTTTAACCTAAAAACCTTATCAATCTATTTATCTTAAATTTTTTTACCAAAAAAAAATACTTCTTCCGTAAATTAAAATAATTAAAATCAAAGCCAGTTTACCAAAGTGGCTCAGGAAATTGGAAATTCCTGAAAGAAATCTATGACGTGTGATCACTACTCTCTGCCAATGGCAGAATCTTATCATCAAATGTGCGCAATGGATTTAAAAAGAAATAAATAAACAATATCGCCTGCTAGAATCTTACGTCTTCAATTAGGTCAAGCTTTTTTATACGAACATCTGAACGTGGGGTTGGGTTCTAAATGAATCTAGCTGCCCTTATCTCTATGTTCATCCCGTTGCCTGCAATTATTGTACCTAAGAAAAAAAAAAACCTGTTGATTTCATCACCAATTTAAAATAAATAATTAGTGAATATGATTGGAGTTTTGCTCTATAAAGTGGGTTTGAAAAAGTTTGGTCACTTATTTTACTGAAATGCAGTATGTTTTGTGATAAAGAATGGCGAGGATCATGCCGGCTCCTATATATCCCAATAAAACACTAATTCATTTGCCATTACAGAAACAAGAAAATTGAAGTGAATTCACTCTTTTGCAATTCATTTCTTTTTTTTTCTTTTTTTCTTGATGGAAGTGATAAAAGTGTGTAGGTAACCAAAATTCCTGAAAAGCACAAAACACTTGGATTCTGTTAAGTGATTCCCTAGGTTAACAAATTAAAGGAAATAAAAAAGAAAAACAAACAACAAACTTTTGCAAATTCAAAACCTAATCTTATCCCCAAACACAGTGTACATTTCTGTTTTGGCCTTTTGGAGTATGATCTCAGCCACTTCCCACTTAAACCACCTTTATAATTGAGCCCCCTCATTACTAGGCTAAGCTGCATCTGAGATCCATCCCCGCCTCCTTCCCTCCCTCTCTTCCCACACTGGACATGTGCATTTTTGCTCTCATTTCTGTCATACAACGACCACATTTTTCATTGTTCATACTTCTTCCACCAGTTGTTTTGGAGCACATGATGACACTGCATCTGCGACAGTCAGGAAGATCTTGTCTTCACCGATTAAATTTTCAAAATTTGATGCGTAAAGCTTCTCAATCACCACCGGTCCAGGATTCGCCAGAATAAACTGTGCAATATTGCAGAAACCTCAGGTAACCACGTAGTCTCTAGCTAAAGGTAGATTTTGTTGCATCATATAATTATTTGATCCATCATTTATTTACCTGAACACCTTTTTTCTGAAGACTCCTGTGTAATTCTTCCAAGGCATGGATGCCACTGGTATCAATGTCAGTTACAGCTGCACATATATTTACACAGGAAACTAGGAAAGTGAGCTTAAACTTCAAACAAATTAACAAAGACAGTAAGCTAGATAATAAGACAACGGATTCTTAAAAACACCAGTGGAGAATTATTCTTACGTGACATCTCAACTATCAAAGACTGGATTGTTGGCTGGCATGCAGCTTTTACTCGCTCTTCTTCATCCATCAACCATCTCAATATCCTGCAAGGATGTCCGTGTTCATGACTTTAAGCGTCTTGAATTCTAATAGAAACTTTGTCGTTTGGCCAAATTTTAAAACATCAAAACCTATCACAATTATTCTAACATACTAAAGTACACTTTTAAGGTTATGATTAGAAAAATTTCACAACAGGTTTTGAAACAACGAGTATTGAGAAATGAATTTGTACCATCCAACACTTTCAGCCTTGTACCAAGTGAAAATAGTTAACTTTTACCCAGAGAAAGATAATCCACATCCCCTGTTGTCTCTAGTATAATTAGAAGTTTGATTGGTCTCTTGCATGCCACTGCCATCGCTATATTTCTCCTCAAATGATTTATCACTGACATGCTAAGTTTTATTCTTTTAGCCACAACTCAAGAATTTATGTAATAGCTTTACCAGTTTCAGCCAAAACCAGACCTTTAAATCTGGTTCCCAGGAGATTAGGAATTTCCAGGAATTGACTAGATACTGATTATGAGTTATAGAATAACTTCTTGTAAATGAAAACTTATATATGAGAGAGGCTAAGAAGAATGTATACCTCTCCTTGACATAATTAGAGTTGGAAAAGTAAATAGCAGAATCAACCATCACGATCAGAATCCCTGGAACTTTAGCTGCTTCTGGATATTGTTGGATATTTCTGTACACAGAACTCCTAGGGAGCTTCCCAAGAATAGCAGTTCGAGGCCTAGTAACTTGTAAGAGGATTTTAGCAAAGGATATTGTGACCTGCCATTGAGTTCAGTGACAAAAGAATTAAGCAAAACACATAATAGAGTGTAATTCATCTTCAGGAATTATAGGTAGTAGACATCTAAGTTCTTACAGCAACTAGGAGGCCTATCTCAACTGATGCAAAGACCACTCCAAGAAAGGCTCCCAGGCATGCAACAAAATCCAATTTATCAATCTTCCATATCAAAATTGCTGCCTGAACATCGAAGAGCCCAACCACAGCAGATATAATGATGGCAGCAAGAACGGCATTTGGGGTGTACTTGAAAAGAGGTGTTATGAATTCTAAGGTTAGAAATACAACACAGGACATAATGATATTAGAGACAGCAGTTTCACAGCCAGCCATAAAATTTACTGCTGATCGAGAAAATGAACCTGCAAGTAATGAAGGAAAAACATCATCAGTTATATAACAATAGAATTATGTGACTCTGTATGTGCACGTCTACATTTTATATCGGTTTCATATTGACAAATAATCAAAAGATCTAATAAGATGAAAATGAAAAATGTTTGAGATTTTTTATATTTTCCATACATGATTTAACTTGTAGTGCAAGAAAAACAGATTGGCTGATATTTTTAGACAGTACATATGATTTTTTTTTTTTTAATGTTTAAGTAGTATGAACTTTGATTGCAAAAGAGTATTTTGTCGTAAATAAACATTTTCTCACTTCTTACCTGTGGCCACATAGCAAGAAGTCATTGAACCAACAACATTCATGACTCCTAGGGCCACCATTTCTTTGTTTCCATCTATTTGATAGTCTTTCATCGAAGCAAAAGTTCTTCCAATTGCTACAGCTTCCTGTTAAATCAACCCATCAAAGAAGAAAAAAATGGAAACGTAAAAGGTCTATTAAGATGCAATATCATAAATAATTTCCTTGGTTAGTGAAGATGGATAGAAAAAAAAAAAAAACAGCTTACCATCAATGCTATCATACCAGCCACAGCACCAATCTTCAAACCTTTAAGAAGATATTCACCACTGAAATAAATTTGATTCACAGATGAGGGATTGATTCCTTTCTCAATATTCCTCACCTGCACAGATTAAAGAAAAGTGGTTCTGCTTTCATTACTCTTACCAAAACTACTACAATTTCTGAACTATTAAATTGCAATATTGCACTAAAATACTGTTGGTGGTTAAAGAAAAGATGCTTACAATCTGAACTCCTTTTTTTTCTGCATGTGTTACGTAAACGAAAAAGGTGGAGAGAACAACGGATATCAATGGAGCTATCGAGGGCACCCAGAAAAATTTCCTGTTCCTTTTTCCCTATTTCTCAAAGCATATAAAAGTTAGCAAATGCTCACAAGCCTGTTATAGTTTGTAAACAGAAATAAGACATAGAAGCTCTTACAATGTACTTCGCAAACAGAAGGAAGGACAAAAAGATAACTCCAATGAGTATAGTTTGCCAGTTCCACTGCAAAGTAGTATTACATAAATTTAGTAACTGGAATGTAGTGAATGATAACATTGATATTGGTTGGGAATTCTTCGGGTTGTAGGCTATGACTCCTAAAGAAGAGAATCGAAAAGCAAATTTTTTTTTGAAAAGGAGAGGATAGAGGACTGCTTACTCCATGATGAACGTTGCCCCATACAGAGTGCATTACAGAAACAATATCTGGTTTCTTCGTAAATTCTTTTATACCAAGAAGACCCTTAAGCTGTTGGAGGGCAATTGTAACAGCAGCTCCACCCATAAAACCGACGATGGCAGCATGAGACAAGAAGTCAATCAAGAAACCCAACCTAATTATTTGTTTTCAAAAGTTAGTTTAGTGAATGCTAGAAGCAGTAAAGGATCCATAAAAATATGAGCAGCACAAAGTTAATAGAAAAAAGTACTATGGGCGGCTATTATCAGACTTCCACGAGTAAAATACAGAATTACCTGAGAAAACCAAGGGTTGCTTGAGTGATCCCAGCAAAAAAGGTAGCCGTAAATGCAAGCCTCCGATACTCAACTGCATTTTTGGAAGGGTCAATCTCACTTGAAAGCATAGTCCCTAGTAAAAGAGATACCACAGCAACTGGTCCAATGGCGATATCTCTTGAACTTCCCATGAAGGCATAAACTAATGGTGGAATAAAGCTAGAGTCTGTAATGGTTAAAAAAAATAATACTCACAAAAACCTTAAGACATATCCAACAAAAAGGCCAATTTAATAATGTAAGGCGATGATAAATAACATGGAAACTTACAAAGTCCATACTGTGGATCCAAGTTTGCTAGTTTTGCATAACCAATGTCCTGTTTCATAGTAATTAAACTGAATAAATAAATCTGACTGCGTATGAAAATTATTGGAGGTTCCCAAGCCTCTCTATGTATGTTTTTGAAGTATAGTGATTTGTGACTTTACCTGAGGAATGCAGAGACTCGCTATAGTCAGTCCAGCAATGATATCACCTCTAAATTTTCTCCAACTGTAACTCCTTCCCCATTCAAGAATCGGGAAGATGGCCTGGGCACCTAGGATAAGCTTTTGAGAACTTGGTTGATCCCTGAAGGGACGCAGAGGATCATCAGCAAAGAATGTTTCTTTCACAGTGGCAGTGAATTCCCTGAAGAGATTTCGCTTAGGGGGAACTCCCACCTTGTGGAGATACTGTGTGTTGTGTACATGGCAGCGAGAGGATGACAGGCTTCTAATGTCCATCTCATCATTTGAATGAGATTTTGAAGCCATGTCACTTATCTGTAGCACAGGAAAAGTAAGCCTGATCAAAAAGAGGGCACTTCTGATTCCTGCTGAACATTAATACCGAGTGATGTAGCAAAAGCATGACCCATGCAAACCATGAGAAACATATATCATACTAATATTTCAGTTTTTTAGATGCTTTAACATGTGACTGTTGCCCGAAGATGTACTAGCAGAGCTTTGACATTAAAGAACAGAACAGAAAATCAGGTTCATAGTTCATGAAATGCCAAAGCCATCTGTAGTAAATGAATTAATTCATGGCATTGAAATGGAAGGAAGATGCTTAAACAAACCAAGGAATTAATAGAAGCTAACCAAAGAAAGTGGATGCAGTTAATCGGCGGGTGAGATTTAGAAACTGCAAAGACTCGTTGAACTTGTAAAGAAGCTTGGGAAGATCTTGCTTATTTAAGTACTGAAAGGATTTCAGGTCAAACTTTACAAGCTGAAATAAGAGAATTAAAGATCAATAATTGATGAATCTGGATCTCATACAAGTCACAAACGTGACAGACAATCAAGTGGTACCAACTTTTAATATTACAGCCAACCCACACAAAGAGATTATTCAATACCTAGCCATTGATGTAAGCAAATGATCATCATTTCCATAATTTTGGTGCTTATTGATTAAATATGCAGTTCGGGAACCTGCTGACGTATATGCATAGGTGGCAGCTGGCAAAACTCCAGACACTTTAGCTGCCTCTTTCTGTGTGCCTTTTGATGTATATTTTGGTTATGAAAAGTTTGTACGAATAAATACAAGCAGAAAGAACCTCTTATACACGGCGTATCTGCTAATCTGAAAAGTAAAAAAAAAGGGGGGGGGGGAAATGTAGCTTCTGTCAATCACAACCAGCCACTAAGAAGATAATTTTTCAGTTTTATTAGAATAAAGTACGTCTTCTGATGTATTATAAAGGGTTCCATTTTGAAAAAAAAAAAAAAAAATCACAATCCCTTAAACACAAGCCAGAAAGGATTTAATTAAAAGAGAATTAGATACTAAAGTCCTTTTAAAAAGGTCCCAAAAATCCAATGATGCCGCTTTGGAAAATAAAAAAGGTGACTTGACCATATCAAAAGAATACAATTCATGATTAATCATTTCGATAGTCAACTGATTAAATGCATCAATAAGTAGTTCCATATGCTTAAAAACTTGATTTGCATCAGTAGCAGCATTTTGCTTAGGAATAATTAATATTCTTATTTTTTAATCCACCAAAAAAAATCAGATAATAGGTAGTTTGTTTTCAGTTTTTTTGAAAATTAAAAACAAAACATGTTTGATAAATTGTTTTTATTTTTTATTTTTAAAATCTGAAAATAAATTGTTGAAAAATTTTGAAAATTGTTGACAACAAAAAATATATATGTTTTCAATTTTTTTGAAAATAATTTGACACTGTTAACATAAAAATAATATTCACGAAATTATAATTAAATCTTTGCAGTGATGTTATAATTATATTAATAAAATAATAATTTTATTTTATAAATATTATATTAATAAATAATATATTATATTATTAATATAATATTATTTATATAATAAATATAATAATATTTATTAATATACTATTAATAACAAATGGAGCTAAAAATTTTAATCACTTTTTCTTGCATATTTTTATTTTCACATTTAAAAAAAAATTTCTAACTAAATATATTTTTAAATTAAATAAATTAAAAATAAAAAAAAAACAAAACTTTTAAAAATATAAAACATAAAATATAAAACACCCAATAATACCAAACTACCCCTTAAATACCAAAGAGCATAAATTTTCCAAATTGCCTGTCATTTTAAGGAGGGAGAATGAAGGCTAATCTAGCGCGTCTATTTCACCTCCTTTCATATGCTTCACATTGGAGCCATTGATAGTGGAATACACCGTCCCAAGATTGAATCTTCAAAGGCCAAAGCTTTACTTCAAATAGAATCTGTCGGCTCCCAGAAACACACAAAAAAAGGGTGTAGAATGAACAATAAATAACAAAAAGAAAAGCCAAAAAAAAGGAAATATGTAATTCATGCAAAAAACAAGTGCTCAAAATCAGTTCAAAAGTTCAACTTTTGGCTGCCCACAGTTGATGGTCTTCATCTTTCTCTGCATTTTTAATATTCCCACAGAAGATCGCCAGGAAAGAACTCAAAACTCGTCCAGGTTCAATGAACCCAACATTGTTTTTTTACTCGCTAATTGCTCATTTTCTTGGTTTTTTCTTTTAATTTTTTTCCAAAAAAAATAGGAACGGAATAAATAAACCACTACTACTACAAAAAAAAAGAAGTTTAAGTTATGCTTTCATTTTCTTAGTAAATTTATTGAGATTTATCTTGAATATCATAATCTCACATCGAAAGTTAAGTGAGTTTGAGTTTATATTGTATCTCGCATCGAGGATTTAATAAAGTTATAAGGAGTTTCACTTTTATAAATAAGATATTTTAATTTTAATTTGATAATCTTAGATAGTTAGACATCAAGAGAATAGCTATATGAGTAGGCAATTAAAAAAGTGTAATTGAATTTTGGGTTAAGTTTTGAGCAAAAAATTTTTGAAGACTTTTCTCATTCTATAAGTCTCACAGTTGTAAAGATTTATTTGTTAGTAGATTATGTTTGGAGTAAACCATTTTGAATTGGGCTAAAATAAATATATTGTGTGTTTTTATTCTTGATTTGAGCTTATTATTTTATGTGTGGGTACTGTGTGTGCGTGTTGATTTTCAACAAGTGGTATCAGAGTCGAAGGTTCGAGACGTGAAAAGAGCATGGTTTGAGACATGAGAAGAGACAAATTTAAAGAAGCTCAATTCAATGAAGAAGTTTGAGTTTGTATTTTGAAGATTGATTTGCATGAAGTGTGAAGGCATACCAGAGAATATGATTATGAGACTTTTATTACAGTGGAGCCAAGCATGTCTAGTATAAATAAAGATAATTTGATGAAATTTGAGTCGAGATGGAGATTATTGAAAATAATGACTCAAATCTCATAAGAATTTTTTTAAAAAATTAGTCAGATAGTGCTTGATGGATAAAAAGACTTGTAAAATAAGAATTCTAAAAGAGAGATGATTCTTAATAGGTAAGTTTAACTTACAGGAGAAGAATTTTAAGAAGAAAAATATTCTTAATAGACAAGTTTGTATGGTTATAAATAGGTGAAGTCATTACAATGTTAGATATGAGAAAAAGATATAAAAGATTAGAATTTTGTGAGATAGATACCCCATAGGAGTACTGGAGCTTTATATCTTAGGGGTGTGTATTTTTATTTGTGAGTGGACTAAAGGAGAATGAGAGAGTCTATGGGTATTGATTATTGAGTGGTTGATATATTTTGATGTATGTTTATAATTTTCTACAACTAGTGGATCTTATTTCTCATCTGTGGATGTAGGTTAGTTGGATCGAACCACGTTAAATTGTTGTTTCTTGTGTGATTGTTTGATTATTTGATTGTTTGATTTCGCTTTCGCTGGCTTGATTGGATTGGGACTTTTTAGCCTAACAAGTGGTATAAAAGCGAGATTCAAAGTTAAAGGTTCATGGGCCTAAGAGATTATGAAGGTTCATGGGCCCAAAAGATTATGAAGCAATATTCAAGATATCTAAAGAAAGTATGTCTAGTATGCCTATGCTTAAGTTTGAGATTTTGTTATTTGATGAAAAGAGTAATTTTATATTATGGTAAAGTACAGTTCGAGATTTGTTAGTACAACAAGGGTTGGATCAAGCATTAGAGAGTAATAAGTCTAGAGGAATATCTGACAGTAATTGGAATAGAATTCAAAAGAAAGCTGTTAGTACTATTAGATTGGCGCTAGCTCTAGAAGTAAAGTATAGTATGTTGATTGAGAGTATTCCAAAAAGTTTATGGGATAAGCTTAAAGGTATTTATATTTTAAAGTCGTTGACTAATAGATTATATTTAAAGATGAATTTGTATTATCTAAAGATGAAAAAAGGTACGATTCTTTATAATCACCTGAATGAGTTTAATAAATTAGTTTCTTAATTGTTGATGATTTTTGTTGATGAGTTAAAAGATGAAGAGAAGGCTCTAATTTTGCTATCATTTTTGCCCAAGTCTTATAAGCCTTTAGTTCAACTTTATTGGTGAGTAAGTCTATTTTGAAGTTGAATGATGTGATGTCTTGTTGCGTGAGAACAAAAAGTTTATGGAAGCTCAGAACTCATCATTTGAGGGGAGTATACTAGCTGTAAAGGGTTTTGATCGAATAAAGACTCAAAAGAGAATTGATGGATCAAGATAAAGATCTAAGTCAAAAGATAGATATTACAGTGACATAGAATGTTTTATTATGGTGAAAAGAGACATATCTAAATGCACTGCAGGAAGCTGAAAAGGAATATGTTTGCTTTCAAATGGGCGAATGATAAGAAGAAATCAAATGAAGAAACGAGTGATACTGCTGTCGTTATGTTTGATGATGATGATGTTATTTTGACAACTTGTATGAATGAAACTTAGACTTTGAAAGGTGATAAAAGTTGGGTTTTAGTTCAGCTGCTGTAGTTCATATTTGCAATGATAGAAGTTGCTTTGTAGAGTTGGATGAGAATGAAAAGTATGAGGATATTATGGTTCCTAACAACAAAAAAGTACAAATTCAAGGCATTGGGAGTGTTCGCCTTAGTTTCACAATGATGTTGTTGGGATACTTCATCATTAAGGTATGCACCAAGTTATAGCTACAATTTGATTACTTTGGGTGAGTTAACTTTTCGAGGGTACACATATTATGATAATAATGATTCATTAAAAATGTACAAGAATGGTAGTGTGATTTTACAAGAAAATAGGGTCAAAAATCACTTATATATGCTTGATGAAAACTCCGTTGCTGGGATTCCTATGATGAAAGAAAAGAAGAAAGGCAAGCGTGTCAGCTTTGCAGATGCTGTTGAATTGTTTGGAGATTCAAGTCAAGGAATGATTTGTTAGGATTT